CTTTCTATCAAAATAATCGCGAGATTTTCCAACCGCATACTTATGATTCGTTTCCAAATGGCGCTTCAATTTACTTGGCAACATGCATTCTGGTGCTAAAACTTTCATACACATTACACATAATGGTCTTTCTTCACCATTCACTTCTGTCGAAGTAAAACCAAATTCCAAGTAACTGTCATCATACTTCCGATATTTTCGTTTTTTTACAGTCGGGCTGTTACTGGTTGAGGGTATACTTTCCTCCTCTTCACAACGTTTATGACTGTTCAATAAAAATCGATCCATGATTTAAAAAAAGTCACAAAATTAACAAATTTTCTATATAAAAACGACGAACACGAATACACGATAGAGCAACACACTACGCGAGACTGGCGGTCATACTAATCCGAAAACAAATTTTATCAAACGTCTCATAAAGTCATGACTATGGTCTAAAAATAAATTTAAACTCATTAATGGTGGTGAGGATAATGCGTCAGAACCGATAACGATAAACAGTTTATCAGTTTTGTGAAGTCGGAGAAAAAAAATTATTTTTGTCTACCGATATTATAGTAATCGGTTTTGTCGCATTACCCTCGCCGCCGTTATCGAGTTAAAATTTATTTTTAGACTAGGTAAATTTCTACGGCAACGCGGCGCCCCTAAAAAGACATCGCGGCGCACCAGGGCGCCGCGGCGCACAGTTTGGGAACCGCTGGTCTAGGATAAAAGCCAGCCTGGCTGAGATCCCTCCACTGGGTGCCCCCCCGCCTTCGAGATCCAATATTAAGAAGGAGGAGAGCATAGTCACCATCGCGGACTGGCAAAGGAAATGGACAGAAACCCTCAAGGCTTCTTGGACCCGTCGTCTCATTCCGAACATCGCAAGATGGGAGAATAGGACGACCCCTAGGATCCCTTGGTCATATCACATGACTCAGGCTCTATCCGGACACGGGTGCTTTCAGTGGTACCTGCGCCGCATGGGCAGAGCTCCTAGCCCTCGCTGCATGCACTGCCAGTGTGGCTCAGACACGGCAGAACACACCATCTTCCACTGCCCGAACTGGGACAGCCTTCGAGATGAGCTACGCGCTCGCCTGGGCCACCCTCCCGAGGCCACCGACGGTGAGAACATCCTGTGCGGCCCTCTCCTCGAGGACCTCCCAATGGACCAAACAGCTAAGGTGACGATCCTCAATGAGGCAGAAGAGACCTTCAGACTCTTCTACAAAATGGTAGAAGAGATCCTGACTCTTAAGGAAATCGAAGAAAGGGCGCGCCAGTCAGCAGACGCCGCGGTCGGCTAAATCTCAGTACGAGACTCGAGAGCGGCGGGCTTAGGCCGGCTCAAGAAAAGGTACGAGTACGTGAAATCTAGGACGGCCGGTTTGACCGGTCTGAGAAGGCACCAAAGCCAAGTAACCAACTCAACTGTAAAGGGTCGGTCCGGGGCTCGTCCCGCCTGCCCTATGTAGATATGTTAACTAAACTGTGTAAGGCATCATGTACATACGAATGTGTATTCTGTGTTTCATGCGAGCCGGAATCAAATGATGTATACTATAAATAAACGATGCTGCATGGGGGCCAAGTAATGTGATAAACGTGCGACCCCCATGTAGCGGTGGGTGCAAACACAAAAAAAAAAAAAAAAAAAAAAAAAAAGGTACTTTTCATAACTAAGTATCTATACCTATATATCTTATAAGTTATAAGATACTAGATTGGTATAATTTTACTAACTTGGAAATCAAAATATGTAATATATACCTATATTACATAATATTTTGATTTCCAAGTTTGTATAATTATACCAAATCTATAATACCATGGCTAAATATATAAACAGTGTGTTTACCATGCACATATAACTACATATTAAGTAATATACAATATCTGAGAAGTAGGTATATATGATTAATGTAGAGATATAATACCTAATATTATAATATAATAATATTACTATTAAAACAATTGCTAAACTTAAATAAAATATTACTAGGTATATTATTATATCCAACTACCAATATATGCTATGTATCGAGATATGTTAACGATTGTTATGTTAAATAGGTATATCTAATAATTATGTATGTAATATAAGATAATTATATAGGTAGGTATATATAATATATAATGTGCAGTGGACTGCTGTTTATATATAACAGATATATAAATATATATATTTGTAACACTTCTGGTTTTTACTATTGTTAGCGCCACCGTGGCAACACTGATACGCTCCGGCGGCTCGACTGTGCTCGGCGACTGGACTGCCTCCGGCCTCGTCCTGTTTTGTCGCGATCGCGGTGCACGACGTAAGTGCTCCGCCGACGGTGCGAACTGCCGTAATTGTTTTGAGTATTTTTTTGTTAAATAAACGCCTCACGAATAATATTTTGCTTTGTTAATAACTTTCAAATATCCTGACATTAAAATTCCTATCATTTCAGAAGTGGGATATGGTCTTTTTTTTTTAAATTTTACTTAGTTTCGAGTGCGTAAGAAAAAAAAAAGTCCGATTGAATTCCGTATTCGCCTCCCGTCTGCGTCGTTACGCCGAAAATCACGTTTGTGTTTCGAAAAACGCTGTGTGAGTCGTAAGTTCGTTTCCGAAAACGCTGTGTGCGTCGTGAGTTCGTATCCGAAAACGTGGTTACGTGCCGTTAACGTTAGTTCGAATTTGGAGGTTACGTTGATATCGCTCTTCGAGTCGACGACCTGACGTAACCGCAACCCTGGTAACCGGTACTATCGCACCTTATCAGTGGTCGTTCGATGATTGGATAACCGTTATAAAATCTTTATATCATCACAACATAAACATTATGGATGACAACAAAGATCAGTCGGATCCTAAGGCTCCGGACTATCTCGATTTGTACAACACAGTGACCGAATTGCGAGAGAAATTGCGCCTACTGGAAGCATCGGCGACTTCGAACAATCAACCGCCGACGTCGAACCTGCCAACGCTCGCCTCGACGACGTCAAATGTTCCGGTCATGACGCCGTCCGTTGACTACCGCATCCTGCCAGATGTCGGCACGTCTATTTGGACTTTTACCGGTCACGAGACTAGTGCACAAGCGGATGACTGGATCAGCTCCGTCGATGGGTTGGCACAGGTGAACCACTGGCCGCTAAGGTATCGACTCCAGTATGTACGTGCGCATGTGACAGAAGCCGCTCGTAGTTGGTTCTTACTAGAAGTATTTGAGGATTGGGACTATTTTGTACAGAGATTCCGTAGGACGTTCGTGCGTACACTACGAAAGGCAGACCTATGGAGGGAACTTGAAGCACGGATTCAGGCAATGAACGAACCCACAATTGACTATTACTACGCGAAAATCGGATTGTGCCGTTCATTAAGCCTGAGCTTCGCCGAAACGCGTGACTATATCCTCGAAGGACTTAGGTCACAACAACAGGCAGATTGGGTGTCTAGCAGGAGACAGGCCGACACTGACGAATTGTTGTCCGATCTACGTGACTGGGAGAAGCTGCGTGCCAAGCGTCAACAATTGTTCCAGCCCGCGACGACAAATCGGACTAACACTAAACAACCCGCGACTTACGTAAACGCCGCCGTACCGCGTAACGCCGACAAACCGAGTGCAGCGCCTATGAATGTCCTGACGAGTCACAAAACTTCCACTACGACGTCCAATGACACTGAAGCCACGTCGACGATTAGTTGTTACAATTGTCGTGGGAGAGGACACATATCGCGAGACTGTCCGCGTCCACAACGTCCAATGAAGTGCTTCGGGTGTGGTTCGGACCAACACCGACGAAGTGGCTGTCCCGCACCAACTGTGGGTAAGTCCAATAATGGTGAATCCGGACAAGCATATCAGGTCAATGCGGCACACGTCGTTATACGATCGAACCCATTTGAGAAGTCCGTCTCGTTGAACAACGTCCAGCTCTCAGGTTTGATCGACACCGGCTGTTCAGCTGTATTAGTACGCCAATCCGCCGCGACAAAGTGTGGCTTAACAGTACTGCCTCGGACGATTCCGCTTTTCACCGTAGGCAGCGTGAACCAACCTAGTACCTGTGCGGTGGGCGAGGCACAAGCGAACGTGACAATCGATGGTGTGTCCGCCGAAAGTCATGATTTTAAAATCGTGGACGACAACTCGATCCCTGTGGATGTACTGGTGGGACGCACCTGGTTAGAGCTCCCCCACGTTGGTTATTATAAACAAGGGAATGAACTAGTAATAGAAACAAACTGTCATCTCGAGGGTACAGTATTGACCGACGAAACGTGTTGTGGCGATGCACAAGTGCTGGCGGTGGAGTGCGAAAACGAACAATTCCCCGTGGTCCCGATCTTCGGCGACGAAGTGAACATTGATCCCGGAGTGGACGCCGACGGTCGGAAAATTTTGCTGTCACTTCTCAACCGTTACCGCCATGTCTTTGCAAAGTCGATCAGAGAATTAGGCTGCACGAATCTACTGACTATGGATATCGTCGAAGCAGACAATAGCGTTAACGTCCGAATGAAACCCTATAAAACGTCGCCGACCGACCGACGTAAGATAGCCGAAATACTTCAAGAATGGAAACAAGCAGGCATTGTTTCTGATTCGGCCTCGCCTTACGCCAGTCCGGTCTTGTTGGTCGACAAGGCCAACGGTGAAAAAAGACTGTGTGTCGACTATCGAAAATTAAATCAACAAACTGTGACACAACCTTTTCCAATGCCCGACGTCGACTCACAACTGAGCGAGCTGGCCAATGGATGAATTTTTACGACGTTAGATTTGTCCAATGGTTTCCTACAAATTCCGCTTTCGGACAAAACGAAGGACAAAACCGCGTTCGTAACGGAACAAACAACCGCTAGGTTCGAGAGGATGCCTTTCGGGCTAAAAGGGGCCCCGGCGACCTTCCAAAGATTGATGTCTGTCGTGTTTAAAGACCTCAAGGAAGCCGGTAAGGTCCATACCTATCTCGACGACATTATAATTCCATCGAGAACTTGGGACGAAATGCTGGAAGACTTGGAATCGGTTCTGAGAGCCTTGGCGGATGCTAACCTCACGTTAAAGCCGTCCAAGTGTTCGTTCGGTATACGCACCTTAGACTACCTCGGATTCCGAATCACTGAAGGAGAAATACGACCGGGACGGAAGGTCGACGCGCTAGCCAATTTTCCACGGCCCCAGGACGCGCACGAAGTGAGGAGGTTCCTAGGACTCGCCGGATATTTCCAACGATTTATCGTAAAATACGCCGAAATCGCAGAACCACTCACCCAACTTACGGGAAAGGACGTGCCTTACTGCTGGCAAGATGATCAACAGACGGCTTTTGACACACTGAAGGACAAGCTGTGTACAGAACCAGTCGTCGCCATGTATAATCCCAACGCGGCGGTTACGGAAGTGCATACCGACGCGAGCGCGAAAGCGTTGTCGGGGATACTGTTCCAAGGTGATAGAACTACCGACCTCAGAATGATTTACGCTGTGAGTAAGCGAGCTACGTCGGCCGAATCGAAATACCACTCGAGTCGACTCGAGCTCTACGCTATAATCTGGACCTTGAACCGGCTACGACATTATTTGCTGGGGATACGATTTACGGTCATTACCGATTGCCAAGCTCTGGTGTACTTAAACGTACACAAAACAACGAAACCCCAGATTGCTCGGTGGTACGAGATACTACAAGAATTCGACTTCGAAATAAAATACCGACCGGGGACGCGTATGTCGCACGTCGACGCCCTTAGCCGTGTTTTATACGACGGAGCGGAACCAGATGACTCGGTTGACGTCGAAATTTCAAACAGAGTCGACGTTTATGTGACGATGACAAAACACGAAGCTGTACGGTTACTTCAAGCCACGGATGAAGGCACGCGCCGGATAATCGAACTTCTGAACGGAGAACCTACGCAGAACAACAACGAGGCAACTGGTTACCAGGTAACCGAGGGAGTGTTATATAAGGTCCACCGTGGTCGCCCGTTACTCGTTGTACCAAAATCCATGCGTAAGGGCGTGGTTATTGCAGCGTATGACTACGGCGGACATTTTGCCGTCGATCGCACCGTTGCACGTATAACCGACGATTATTGGTTTGTCGGAATGAAGCGCTATGTTAAGCAACACATAGCTATGTGTGTGGATTGCCTCACAAACAAGAAGCCCGCAGGACCAAAACCTGGATTTCTGCATCCAATACCGCCGGGGAGACGACCTTTCCAGACCATACACCTGGATCACCTCGGGCCGTTCGAAACTACGATAACAAAAAATAAGTATTTACTCGTGTTGGTGGACAATCTGACGAAATATACGATGTTATACCCGTGCAAGACAACCAACGCCGCCGCAGTAGTACGCGTCTTAGACAAGTTCTGTTCCGAACGAGGGATACCGGATCGAATTATTACAGATCGAGGTACGTGTTTTACGGCCAACGCGTTCGGAAAATTTTGTAGCGATCGAGAAATACGCCATACACTGAACTCCACACGACACCCGCAGGCTAACGGGCAAGTGGAGAGGGCCAACCGTACAATTGTCTCGTTACTTAGTGTCACGGCCACCGAACACAATAATTGGGACACGCAACTACGGTACGTCGAGAATATGTTGAACACGGCTCCGAACAAGTCAACGACAAAAACACCGTACGAGACGTTGCACGGTTACCTACCTCGTTTTCACAAGGGAATACTACCTACGCTGAGCCTCACTCGAAATAACTGGCGGGACCCACAGGAAATTCAGACGGAGGCACGACGGAATATTATCGACGCCCAACGCGCAATGAAGATTTCCCACGACCGCAAGAGGTATGAGGGCGTAAGGTACGAAGTTGGTGAAGTAGTGGTTATGACAAAACCACCAGTGCCGCATATATCGGCAAAACTTCAACCCAAATACCGCGTAAAACCACTTCAGGTTATGGAGGTGCTGCCAGGCGACACATATCGAGTTGCCGAACTCGCAACAGACGGGCACGAAGTGTATGCCACGACGGCACACGTCTCGCAGCTCAAATCGTGGACGGTCCTGAACGAAAAGGACGACAGTGATGAGGGCGAAGACGACAGTGATGAGGGCAAGGACGACAGTGATGAAGAAGTCGATGGTACTGCCAATCCACCCAAAAACGACGAAATCCACGCAGGCAACAACAGGGAAGGAAGGGCCGAGCAGACCATGATGGGTCCCAAGCGCAGTACGAGGACTCGACAAACGCCGAAGTACCTCGAGGATTACTCCACAACAGGGTAAAAAAAAGGAAAAGAGTAACATTTCAGTTTATATTCGTTTAATTATTTATTTTATTTATATTTATATTTATATTCATGTTAACGAGGTGTCTGGCCCGGGGGCGGTCCAGCGGTCAGGACGGTCGAGTGTTAGCGCCACCGTGGCAACACTGATACGCTCCGGCGGCTCGACTGTGCTCGGCGACTGGACTGCCTCCGGCCTCGTCCTGTTTTGTCGCGATCGCGGTGCACGACGTAAGTGCTCCGCCGACGGTGCGAACTGCCGTAATTGTTTTGAGTATTTTTTTGTTAAATAAACGCCTCACGAATAATATTTTGCTTTGTTAATAACTTTCAAATATCCTGACATTAAAATTCCTATCACTATTGGGTTGTTAAATTTCCCAGTAACAGTAAACTGAACAAATATTTCAGCATTCATAAGTCATACACTTTTTTCCATTTATCTCCGCTCTTCTCTGCTCCTGGTAAAGCGTTAAGTTGATCTGCTATGATTTGCCATTTTTGTTTAGCAGTTTTTTGGGTATATATAGGTATAAATTTACCGGCGCACAATAATGGATCTTTGACCATTAGATCAACCAAAGATTTCATTTGCGATTGAGTTGGCCTTGATTTAGACATAATAAATGTAGGTAATGAATACTATGAATTGTGGTGATTTATTATTATTATTATTACTACCTATTATAAATTGTATTATTATTACTGTTATATTATATTGTGTCTGTGTGTGCTCTGTGCCGATAAGCCGATTGTTATATTTTTGTCTACGTTGTCGGCATACATCGACCGGTCGATCCAGGCCGATCGCTGCGACAACGCAGACCGGCATAATATTTTGTATTATATAGATTTTCAGTTGATCGATCGACACCGCTCGCCTAGTTTCGGCGCGTGTCAGTAAATAAATATGTTTTTTTGCGTTTAATCAATCTATTCTATTTTATTATATTTTTCCTTAAAATTAACCACTCATCGCCATCAGTTTCAGAAGTGGGATCGTTTTCAGATTCAACTGAACCAAACATGAATGTCATTGTTATTGCGTAATTTTTTTTTTTCCGAATGTGTATTTAATTTGAATGTTAACCAGTATGTCAAAACCACCGAATGCGAACACCGGAGTTGTTACACGATCCCGTAGTAACATGAATGAAGAAGAAAATGTTAACAATGAAGGACAGGAGAATGAAACGAATGATACACCGGAAGTGCACGCCAATAATATACCGAACGAACCGAATGAAATGAATGTGGATACAAGTAATGTGAATGCGAATACACTACTTTGTACTTTGTTGTCACAAAACGCCATGTTAATGGAGCTGTTGAAGTCACAACAAGATAGGAAATCGTCAAACGACATGACGATCGCTCCAGATTTGAACAAGTCTATTCCAATTTTTAATGGGCTAACAACGGGCGCGCAAGCTCAAGATTGGTTGCGAACAGTGAACGGTGTCGCTAACCTACATCGCTGGCCAGACAACTTCAAATTGCAGTCTGTGCGGGCAAATCTGGACGGTGCCGCCCGTCATTGGTTCGTATCGAGGGATATTGAAGATTGGGCCGATTTTGAAAGACAATTTCGCAAAACGTTCGTAGGCGTAGTGTTGACAGGTGATTGTTGGAAAGAGATGAGTCGTCGCGTCCAATTACGAAACGAGAATGTACGCGAATATTTTCATGAGAAAGTTTACCTGTGCAAACGAGTTGGTCTATCGTTTTACGAATCAAAAATACAAGTTTTGGAAGGTCTATATTCGAAGGATCTAAGTATGTATTTATTGGGCCATGACCATCGAGACGAAGATGACTTATTAAGCGACATGGTCGAGTATGAACGTTTAGATACATCACGTGCGACACGTTTTCGCCAGCCGTCAGTAAACATGAAAGACAACGGTGTACAAAAGCCTACACCACGACAGCAGAATGATGCACCACAGTCCTTACCGACGAAAAAGGAAAGTACGAAAACCATGACAGATTACGAAGGAAAACCAACAGTCAGATCGTGTTATAATTGTGGCTCGAGAACACATATTTCACCTCAATGTCCAAAACCGAAGAGGGAAAAGGGTGCCTGCTATGAATGTGGTTCGACGTCACATCAAATAGGAAGTTGTCCAGGACGTACGAAACAGAGTTCCGACGCATCGACAGGGAAGCAGCCAGGGCTAATGAACATCGACGTGGCAGACGATGATGCACCACCCGTTGACTATCCGAAGCCGTACGAGGTACAATGCCACATAGACGTCCCTGTTGCCGAACATGAAAGTTGCGATGTCAAGTTCAACGCGGTGATCGACACAGGTAGTCCCATCAGCCTTCTAAAATGTGAGTTTATTCCAAATAATTATGCTGTAATTAAACCGGCAGGTGATAGTAATTTTTATGGAATTAACGGGGCTAAGTTAAATATATTGGGGATTTTTGAAACTAATGTAACAATCAATAATAATGTCATAGATTTTAAATTTTATATTGTACCGTATAACACCATGTCGTCTGATGCTATTCTAGGTAGGGATCTCCTGTCTAAACCCGGATTTAAAATTGAATTTGTGAACGATAACGTTAATATCATTAATCTTAATAGCGATGTCATTATGAAAGAAGTCGATAATAATTTCGACGAAATATTATGTATTAATTATGGTCAAGACGAAAAAGACCGTAATAATTGTTTATTGAATATAAATCCGGATTTGGACACGGAGATAAGAAATAAATTTATTGATGTGTATAACAATGAATACCATAATATGTTAAAAGAAAACGTAGAATCGCACGACGGTAATGTAGATTTTGATATGAAAATTATTCTTAAGCATGAACAACCCATTTCCTTTCGCCCTAGACGCCTGTCATACAGCGAACAAAATAAATTACGTGTTATTTTAGACGAGCTGTTATCTGAAGGAGTGATAAGACCGAGTAACAGTGCATATAGCAGCCCGGTCGTATTGGTGAAAAAGAAATCGGGAGACTATAGGTTGTGTATAGACTATAGAGAGCTTAATAAAATAACAGTGAGAGATAATTTTCCGACACCTCTGATAGACGATCAATTGGATCGATTACGTGATAAGAGAATATTCACATTATTAGATTTAAGGAATGGATTCCATCATGTCCGTATGTGTGAAAAATCTATCCCGTATACGTCGTTCGTAACACCGTTAGGACAATATGAATATGTAAAAATGCCGTTTGGGTTAACCAACTCGCCCAGAGTATTCGGTCGATTTATTCAGTTTGTTTTTCACGAGTTAATCCGCCGGGGCGATCTTTTAGTATATTTAGATGATATGATGATTGCAACCCAAAATTATACTGAACACTTCGCAATATTAAAAGAAGTTTTCCGCTTGGCGGCAAAACACAACTTACAATTTCGATTAGATAAATGTCTTTTTGGTTTTAAAGAGGTCGAGTACCTCGGGTATTTAATTAATGAACACTGCGTACGTCCCAGTTCAAGACACATTGAGGCAATGCTCACCTATCCGATTCCAAAAAACCAAAAACAAGTAAGACAATTTTTAGGGTTAGCCAGCTATTTTCGCCGTTTTATTCCTAATTTCTCGACTATTGCTAAACCACTTTACGATCTCGTCAAAAAAAATACACATTTTATGTTCGGAGATAGGGAACAAAGCGTTTTTAAATTTTTGTGTACAACGCTGACCGAGTCACCAGTTTTGGCTATTTATTCACCCGACGCAGATACGGAGTTACATTGTGACGCAAGCTCGTCAGGGTTTGGTGCAATATTATTGCAAAAACAAAAAGATAACATATTAAAACCAGTATTCTATTTTAGTCAACGCACGTCCCCGAGCGAGTCCAAATTTCATAGTTTCGAATTAGAATGTCTCGCCGTAGTATATGCTATTAAACGCTTCCATGTTTATTTAGCGGGCATAACGTTCAAGGTCATGACTGATTGTGATAGTTTTCGTCTCACTTTGAGTAAGAAAGAAATAAATCCACGAATTTCCAGGTGGGCGTTATTTTTGCAAAACTACGATTTTAACATATTTCACCGCCCGAACAAAAATATGCAGCACGTAGACGCATTCAGTAGATGCCATGCCATTTTAGTTTTAGAGTCTAACTCATTCGAACAGGTGCTCGCCCTTAGGCAAAATACAGACGATGACATTATTAAAATTAGGGACGAGTTATTAACGAAAGATAGTAAATTATTTGAGTTACGCAATGGACTGGTATACAGAAAAGAAAATAAAAATGTAAAATTTTATGTACCTAAGTCTATGGAGTCAAACGTCATACGAACGTGCCACGACGATATGGCACATGTTGGCTTATTGAAAGTTATCGAAAACATTTCGCGCGTATACTGGTTCCCAGACATGAAAACAAAGGTACGCGATTATGTCAATAATTGTTTAAAATGTATCGAATTCACAGTTCCTAGTGGTAAAAAAGAAGGTTTTCTTAATTATATTCCGAAGGGGGATAAACCGTTTTTAACAATACACGTAGATCACCTGGGTCCCCTGGAGAAAACGGGAAACCGAAACAAGTTCATTTTTGTCGTAATTGACGCATTCACAAAATTCGTTAAATTATATCCATGTCGTAGTACAAAAACGGAAGAGGTAATAAAACATTTGCGTAATTATTTTCAAACATATTCGAAGCCACGGAAAATAATTAGTGACCGTGGCACGTCTTTTACGTCCGCAGCATTTAAACAATTTTTGGAAGACGAATCTGTAAATTTAGTGTTAGTCGCCGCAGGAACACCTAGGGCTAACGGCCAGGTGGAAATCGTCAATAAATCTGTCGTACCCATGTTAGCAAAATTATCTGAGTCTACGAATAAATGGGACAGAGTATTAAATGTAGTTGAGTTTGCAATTAATAATACCATACATAGGTCAACTGGTCAGAGTCCGAGTGTTCTGTTATTTGGAGTAAACCAGGTTGGCATAGTGAACGACGAGATAAGGCTAATATTAGATAATGAAATAAATACGAGTTGTGTAGACCTAGAGGAAGTGAGAACAATAGCCGCCGAATGCATAGAGAAAGCACAGGAGGGTAACGCAGCTCAATATAACTCAAAACGGAAAACTCCGACAATTTACAAAGAGAATGATTATGTAATGATTACTAACGTAGATGTGACGGTAGGTCATAACAAGAAATTAATACCTAAGTTCCGTGGTCCGTATGTAGTACGTAAGGTTTTGAACCACGACAGATATGTTATCGGTGATATAGATGGATTTCAGGTAACACAACGTCCATTCGAGACTATCGTTGGTCCGGACAGAATGAAAATGTGGATCAAGTTCTAATATACGTATTACAAAAAAAAAAAAGAGAAAAGATAAATCCGTTTTTTTATTACTAATTAATTTTTATTTACATAGGCTAGTCGCTGAGATTAAACGTTTTCTTTCCATTTAATTTTATTTGTATTCAATTATTTGTATTTAAAAAAAAAATATTGTTCAATTATTACTACAACCTTGTTCGAGTCGAACAAATGTCAGGATTGGCCGAACTGTGGTGATTTATTATTATTATTATTACTACCTATTATAAATTGTATTATTATTACTGTTATATTATATTGT